GAGGATGTGCGTAGAGTATCATTAGGTGGTGCTATGGTCACGTTGCATTCTGCAAGAGTCATTCTAGCAAGTGGCGATTGTGTTGCAAGATGTCAAGAGGAGGTCTCTGTCTGGAGGCGCAGGTCGTCAGCGATGTGTGAGGTTGTGCTGTGAGTATGCTTGTGGTGAGTTGGCTTTTCTGTTTGTTTTCCATTTCAGCTCTGTCCGTGTGACCCAGGTTCTCGCAATGGCATCCAAGTCAACGTGTATTGGTCGTGAAGGAAAAAAGGGTTGGATCCGTATTTTGCCGGGGAGTGTCAATGTAGTTGAAGATTGAACGATCAATTCATGGTTGTTTGCTCAAAATCAACTTCCCCAATTTTCGCGGAGGCATCAATACGACAGTCATCGTCTCATCGGTCGCTGTTCAGAAAGAAGAGTAAAACATCGTCAGAAGTAATATTGTGATTTATTATTGTAATATTTGTTCATAGACCTTAGTTTTAAAGCTTAATTTGAAGGTTTGCTATATGTTGGTGTTACAATAAAGAATTTCCAAATGGCCAATCGGTGTTTTGGTTTTTTTTCGTCCGTTATTACCAAGCGTTTCTGAGAAACTTCAGGGAACAGCGTGAGCCCGAGCGTAGCAAGTGCTGGGCATTGATTGTTTACCTTTGTGCCTGACATAAGGTTTCTTCTGGAAACGTCTCTTTCGGACGTTAAGTGATACTGTTTCTCAGAATCTCTGGTATGATGTCACCTTTGGATTCCAGGTTCATTAATGGTTTTTTTAGGAACAGTTTCTATGTTTGGTGGCGCAGGCTTCCGTTTCATGTTTTTTCTATGATTCTTGGTTGTGGATATGGGAATATGTCTTTCGTAATATTGAGCTGTTTCCAGCGGGTTTGTGAAGTCTACGAAGACCGCATGAACTGAAACATTCACACCTCATTGTGATGTCCAGTCATTCAAAGATGATAGTTGATTTGTTGCACAGGATGTTTCTTTCCTGAAACCATGTTGTGTTTCGTGAAATCTATTAGCCCTTTTAAGATGTTTCCAGATGTATTCATTAAGTAAACTCTGCAGGACTTTTGATACCACTTGGATTGGTGTCACTGGTCTGTAACTGAGTAAGTTCTGTCGATCCCCACCCTTGAAAATCGGAAAGAGGATGGCTCTCTTTCACTCACTTGGCAGTCCCCCTGAATCCACTGAGTAAGTAAGGGCTTAAAGAGAGTTTCAGAGTACTGTTTTAGGACAGATTACCAGATGTTATCGCGGCCTGGGAACTTAACAGATTCTCTGGGACTGGATTTATTTGGATCGTTCTCATTCTGTTCTATCTCAGCAAAATACTATTTTAGCCTTTGTGGTCAGTGCCGGCATTGCGAACATTTCTGTTCAGTTTCCTGTTAAAGGCTAAACTGAATGTTTCAGCTATTCCCAAACTGGTGAGGTGTTGACCATCTTGACCTCCTTAGATGCATGCCCTCGGTTGGTAGATTTCCTCTGTGACATGGATCGGTATGGGCTTTTAGGGTTTGCAGGAGTTTTCTGGAAAGATTGACCTCGAATTGACCTCTTGTCTCTCCTGCCCCTTGTGTTTCACAGGTTTCTTAGTTTCACGGTCATTCTGGATCTGGAGGAGTCACTGTGTAGCCTGGGCTTTCTCCTCCGCCTGAAAAATACGTTGCGTGCGTCTTCTAACTAATGAAGACGTCTTAGGTTGTAGTGTGATTAGTGGACATTATCTTAGAATGCTGTGAAAATGATTCCTTATAACAGCGATGTTGCCTATAGCTGGCACCAAATTGGGCTGGCTTCCTGAGTTTCTCTACTACCTCAGCAAATTCTGATATGCGTACTGGATACATAGCTGCTGTTTTGGTCTCTGCCACCTTACATCATCACCTTAAGAGGTACAGAATTTCAAATCCTGTGCTGTAAACTTGTTCATCATCATTTATACGCAGTTAACTGGATCGCAACATATTTCTCCACAGAATTCAATTGGATATATTTAAAACTTTTTGAGTTGGTATGTTGAGTACTTAGTTGTCTCCCAATTAATATGTATTTATCGTTTCACTCCCTGTCAATTAGTCCTAATGTTCACATGTTCCTATCAGCAGAAACCTCTTTTATGCTTCCCAGAAATAAATTATTATTATTCTGCCGATGACTTGTTTGATTAAAATATTCAGATGGTCGACCAGTTTTCAAGAATCCGGTTGGCTTCGATCAAGTGCATTTCAAAAGGACTTTCTGTCGCTATAATAATAATGATGAATTTTGATCTTTAATTTTGTGATGACGATTAAGCATATTAAGCTTCAGTGGAGCAAGATTCTGCGTCTGCTGAAATGATTTGTTACTGATTGTATCTCGTATCAAGTTCCAGGTTTCCCGCCCTTGCACCATTTTTGCTTTAAGCAGTATGTGAAGCCTTCTCAAATCAGATCTGTCAGAGAGCTTATAAACAGCAATCTAAGTCCTCTCATATTTTGTTAGAATATCCATCCCAGTCACCGGAACTTTAGCTTTAAGAGTTGATAAGCCTCATGTCACATACCATACCCATGAATCGTGAACGCATGCAATTAAAATTCAACGTAAGACTTCGTATGAAAAATCCCAGGATTACAACATTGGGGAGTTTGTTGAGTCTGTGCCACGCGGTTTCTAATTTTGCATGTTTTTCTGTGGCCTTTCCTAGGGAAACTCACACCCAATGACATCTGATGACCTGAACAGTGCAGTAGCATAATGCCAAACTTTTTTCAAAGCTACATTTTACCATATGCAGAAGTGAATAGAACTGTCAACGAATTAATCCCGACGAAATGCATGTGAGCAGGCCATCAAAAATTTGAGCAAATCGACTGGGATTGAAAATATTTATGTCCACCTTTCATTTTGTTTATCACCACTTTTTGAGGTCAAAGAAAGGTATTCCAAACAGCCGGTATTTAGAGAAAAAGGGTATGGTTGTGGTCTCTGAGGCTTATTACCTGCCGCAAGTTTTACGTGTTATTCCTTGGTCCGCCGGTTTCATGAATATCTTTGATCTCCACATCTAGCATAGCTCTGTAGCTGCATATGCATATTGAACCTCAGTAACTCGTTCACATTAATATATTGTCTAGCAAGCCCAGTTGTGGCTATTTGCTCCTACTACCTGAGCCAGTCTAGACACTATGGATAGTTTCGTGGTCATAATATTAGTCTACCATGATAGGTAGTAGCATTATTTATGAATGCTGTTTCTGACTGATCAAGAAAATTCAGATCCTTCAAACAAAGTCAGTTGTCTCCAAGCTTAATTCCTAGTCTTGGTATTCATTCTCTGACAAAAACGGCAGATCGAGTTGTTCGGTGCTGGTTAATCTTTTCGCAGTGATGCGCCGCATTCACATAACATGAGGTTAAGATACCTGCTGTAGGTATGACATTTATTTCGCCTAGAAATGTCTCAGTCATTTCAAAAAGGGTGACGATGCAAAATTAAAATACTGATGACATGTCTCTTTCTGAAATACAGAATTTTAAATTGATACAATAGTAAGATAAAATACAAAGCCAATGGCTTCTTGTGAAATGTGAAAAACTACGGTAGACAGAAGTAGTGTTCAACTTCTAGTGCCTAAATGAAGCTACAAGAGTGAAATATAAGAGAAAGCAGACTGCTTTCCAATGAAAAGTGTTGATAAAACGGCAGTTTGGTAAGCCACATAAGAGGTTAATAGTTGGTAAAATTATACCTAAATCAAGTTGAAACCTGGATGCTAGACTTTGAGACTACTTACCCATCAAAAATTATTAATCCCTTTTAGAATCGTGGGAGGGAAAATCGTTCGTTACGATGAGTAGCATGTTTTCAGTAGGACCTTGTGTCTCAAAAAATGTGTTCACCAGTAGTCACGAGCAGTGAAGATTTGGTGAGTGTTACTCAATTCTGCTTGCGACAAGGCGATTTCAAATCGATAAAGACCTTGAGTTTGACCACTTGAAGATATTTACTTTGAAGGTGAGCGATATGACCCAGCCCTTTCTCTCATCTCGCGCCATAACCATGCTTTACTTTTCTAGTTTGATCGCTTCCAGTGAGTCAGTCTTCACGTGGTTTTGGCAGCAGTTTGTGGTGTCGTCTCCAGTGATTTCGCTTAATCTACAAAAAAGTGGAATTGGGGGTCGTCAGATAAACTTACTGCAGAAAACTTCGTTTAAATACCGCAACCATTAACTCCGAGTTCTAATGATATTCTTATGCAATCATAGATTGTTATGAGTTCCGGTATTGAGTACTCTAGTGCATTCACTATGAAAATGACTTTACCTCTAAATAAACCATCTTTTCTAAAGGAATATTACTACTTAAAAATGGGGGGGACTGACAAATTCTTATTCAGAAGTAATTTTATTTGCCTGAGCTCAACTCAGAGTAAAGGAAAGCGTATATCGCTTAGACGTTATCTTAACTGATGCACTGCCCAGAGCTACATTAAATTAAATATATTACCCCATTGCGTGTCCGTCTAGGTATATGTATGTATTTATCACATAATAGGTTAAGGTTTTTTTCAGTATGATATTTACACACATATTTAATTAGTAAAGGCTGAGATAGGGGTTCTGCGACAACTAGCCGAAACAGAACGCAAAAGCAGAACAGAAGTCTGCCTGTATGTATCCTAATTGACGTATATTTTAGTTGTTTCAGAGATAATCGTAGGTTTGATAAGCAAGGTGCACCTGCTTCACTATAACTGCACCTCTTCTATGTTAGGCACATGCCGATATCGGGATGGAGGGTTTCAATTTAGCGACTAAATAATAGTTCAAAAAAGCAGAGAAATTTCTCTGTTTCCCTATTATTCAGTGGTAATATTAAGTGTGAATTTAGGCAGTCATGAGATATTACCCTTAATTAGTCCCTTTATTTGAGGGTCAATATATTTTTACACGCAGTTTGTTTGAGTTAGTCAAAACACTTAGCTGAGTATTTACATATATAAGTGCGGTAATTGAAAACGTTGTTTTCTCGTGCTTCCGGTTGGTTTGTTTTTTCTAGTTCAAATTCACTTAATCAAGTTGAATTAAAAAGTCCTGAGTAGGTAAAATTGTTTTTGGGTCATATGTTTTCTGCATACTTTTCACAATTTTTACCCAAGGGTATAATATAAGTGCCAATCTTTGTCCTGGCATTATGCATCATGTCAACACTTCGAAGAACATAATCTATGGAAGTTCTAATTTGTTTTGCAAATGCATTCGTCGATTAATATTCTTAGAGTAAGGGGAATAAACTGCTGAGTCTTTCCGGGCATTCAGTGAACCTACACTTGTGTGGCGATACGGAAGCTGCCTTTGACAAATATAGCTAAGCAGAAGAATTGAGCGAAGAAATATCTACTTCTCAATTAGGTCCTCACCTTTGACCTTGCTCTAGTATACATAGCATTTTTATTACAATACACAACAATTTAGCAATCAATGGGCGATATGTTTGGGTTATGTACTGCTGCTGAGTGAGTCAATAGTCCTGACGCAAGAAGGCCGAAATCAGAAAACTACCAGGTTCACGATGATACTTGTATTTTCCAAACAAGGAAAATCAATGTCACACAAGTGTGTAAGTGAAAAAGTATGAATGTCCGAACAAGTGTGTGAAGACAAGTGTATGAGCGAATGTTCAAAAATGAACAAATCAATAGACAGTCTTAACATGATTGCTAATTATAATGGAATATCGATCCATATATACATGGCAAAATATAACAGACTGTCAAACAAACACACACATTATATGGATACTTATCAGTTTGTTAGCAACAATTAGTCAGTGTCAACATGTCAGTGTGTGGTAATTAACGAAGAAAATTAAGACACACAGTTAAAAGGTAGAGATGGTTGCAACACATGGATTGTCTGATGCATAATTTTGGAGAAATGAAGAGTAATTTAGGAATTTACGTATGCGCAGATTGATTGCGTTACAGATTGTTAACGAAAATAAAACAGTTTGGACAATGATAACTTATAACTAAGGATGAAGGGGTCAGAGTAATAACAAAAACTTGGAAGTTTGTAATTTTTATAGTTTTTAAAAGTTTAAGAGAAGGGGGTGAATTAACCGGGTAATACATTCAGGTAACGATGGCCAAGGTAAGGGAAGTGGCTGTACAAATTTCTTCTGAACATATAGGTTTGGATTCTTCAGGCGGATTCCTATTACTTCAGCTGAATGCAGAAGATAAAATCGTAAAGCAAAATTTAGGTTAGTAGGAATGCGATAAATAATTTTAAATGCTATATTAATGTCAGCCTTAAGCTCAATACCCACACGGTGTGCTAAAATAGAGCTACGAATAAATCTTGTTTGTTCTTTGCTTAACTATGCTGGATGTTGTTCTGAAATACGATGATGAACTTGCACATTTGTACGCCCAATGTAGCCAGCTCCGCAGCTGCAGTGAAACTGGCAGATACACACAAAGGTGAATTTAGGTGTGTAAGACTTGGGCACTGTGGTAGCAAGTAATTCTATATTTATTAGATATATCACACAGGGAAACAGTATTATTTACTGGATAAATAGTACTGTAAATAAAATAAATAAATAATATTGTTTCACTCCATGATATATCTAATGAGCAAAGCAATGTGAAGATTTAGGTAGTTTGTCCTTATTTCTCGAACGTAGAACTGCGGTGGTTGTGAAGAGACAACGTACCTTTGCTGCATTTTTCAGGTGCTGTGTTATTATTTCGCGGATTTGATCACTGAGGAACTGTAGTTTTATGAACAGCTGTTTTTTCAGAACTGTTGCCATACTGACTTTCTTAAACGCTGAATTCATATTTTTATCTATGAAATTATTTGGATAACCATTTTTTCTAAGTAATTCCCTAATAATCTTAAGCTCCTCATTGAGGCAGTCGTCTGAACAGATTAACTTAGCTCTATGAACCAGACACTTTACCAGGTTAGATTTATATTCCTATACACACTCCTTAGTGTGGTATCTTCTTTCCTTACCATGAAGACGTCTAGGAATGAGATACTGTCATTACTTTCCTTCATTGTGGTAAAGTTTACTGCTGAATGGAAATCACCAAACTTGTCCAAGACATTGCATCATTCTCGTTTTTAATAACCAGAAATGTATCATCCATATTTCGACAGTAGAAATCCAAGTCAATATTTACTCCTTTCAGTGCTCCATTCTCTAACTTAGCGTGTAAAACATCTGCTAGGATAGACGTAATTGGGAACTCATAGCTATACAATCAGTTTGTCTGTAATACTCCTTATTGAATAAGAAATGAACATTCGTTGTAGGCCTTAAGTTCCTTCCATCTTAATCATTATTTTTCCAAAATTATGCATCAGACAATCCATGTGTTGCAACCATTTTTACCTTTTAACTGTGTGTCTTAATTTTCTTCGTTAATTACCACACACTGACATGTTGACACTGACTAATTGTTGTTAACAAACATATCGCCCATTGATTGCTAAATTGTTGTGTATTGTAATAAAAATGCTATGTATATTAGAGCAAGGTCAAAGGTGAGGATCTAATTGAGAAGTAGATATTTCTTCGCTAAATCCTTCTATTTTCTAAATGTCTAAATGGGGATTTTCTCTATAATGAAATATGGCTAAATTGAATTGGTCATATACGCCATCTAAACACTCTTATTACTATAGGACCTATTTGGGTAGCCATTTTTATGTAGCACATATGAAGGTGGTCGTATTCTCCGGATTTGTGTCGCGTAATTTAGATAAATCTGCACGTCTCTGTAATCATTATTATAATCGCACGTGCTTTTGTTTATATTAGTGTGGCAAAAAATATAGCGGGTTGTACATTCTGAACCATCTGCCTAATTAGTACCACTTATTTCAATAAGGACTTCTTTGGGTCGTAAGTTGGAGAGTATTAGGCGCCCCGTCTCTTCAACTTTGAATTTTAGTGTCTCTACATACATGAATTTTGGAAGAAAGCTGATCACTAATGCATTTGATCGGGTTCCTTGAAACAATTTCCAGCTAAAACAAGTAGAGCAGTATCTCGAGCTATTTTAATTATTCTTTCTTATGCCACATAAACCAACAGTATCAATGAATCCACTTACTTCCGTCGCTAATAAGAATAAAATTTATTTAAAAGATACCAGGGTTCTTACATCAACCAGATATAGCTCTAAAAAAGTGGGGTTCAGACATACACGAAAACTGACACTTAATAACAGAATAGCCACTGAAATTGCAATTCATGGCACCACAGCGAAACATTACTTCAATGGTGAAAGTCAACCATGGCTGACTTGAAATCCCAGAGTGAAACTAGAGTTCTGAACAGCATGGAAGCGGGTTAGACGAATAGAATATGACGAAGACATGTTCTCATTACATCATGAAAGAGTTGCGGGTTTAATTAATAAATATGTAAGGGTTGAATGGGTGAAACGCCATAAACCCTTCGGGCAGCAGTTGGCTGAACAAAATTACTAATCAAAGAAGTAAGCTATACAATTGGAAGTCTATCCATGGAAGCTTTCCATCGAACGAAGAATAATCCTCTGATTAGTGAAATTTGTAGAACGATGAAACCAACAGGGTCTTTAACACCACACCGACTAACTTACATCCTACTACATTTGGTGTGTATACGATGCTGATGCCATGCGGGAAGAATCTAATCTTCCCACAGAACTCCTAAAATAAAACACAACCACCATAGACAAGTATACACGGTGAAAACCGATAAAATGTGATTTGAAGCCTACATGCAAGAAAAACCAAGATAACCTAAAAACATCCTGATTTCGACGATGTCTACAGTCATGTTGATACAGCTGTTTCGGTGGAGCTATGTGTACCAGTCATCCGAATATCCTTTTTTTCAAAATGCTCCTTAAAGAAAATCCTGTGTGATGGCGAATAGTTGGAAGTGAAGGTAAAATAATAATAGCTATTCCCCTGGGCGCCGAGTTGAACGGAAAGCTTAAACAGAATAAGGGCACTATATCCCCTTTAACTGGCTTTGAAACTACCCATAGGCTCCCACGCACTTATCACGCCCAAATGGTCCCTACTCATTATGACTCCTCGCGAAAGACAGGCGACTTAGGCCATACAGGAATATTCTCAGTAAGCATCCGATCTATCCATGGTGACAGATTGCTGATGCATTGTTTTCAAAGCAAATTGTTGCCAATCCATTCTGGGTACCTGATTTTCAGTATGGAAATAAGATACCTATTGATAAGAGTCTGAAGACTGTTTGAAATGATTCCGGTGGCGCCTCCGCTGTGTCTGCACCATATGGAAGCACTGATTGGACAGTGGGTTTGAAAACTTGAATCTCGTCCTTCATGGTAAGTGCAGAAGGTTCTCACACCAATTTAGGATTGTGCAGTACCTGCCTTATTTTTCAGATCCTGACTTTGATATCGTAATCCGTTCCGCCTGTAGTTGAAACTAAGCTGCCTGGGCAGGTTAGTAAAAGAAGTAACTTGCTTCAAACTTCTCTCTCTGATGGTGATTTATGCTTGTTGTTACTAGTTGGGTATCTTCGGCACCTCTGTCGCTTGGAGTCGAGTCATCGCTGCCTTTTCCAACAATTTTTTGGTTTTTCGTAAACCTTCGAGTTTGTGCGACATTAAAAACAAATCATCTGTGAAGTTCAGATCTCCTAGAATCCTTTTGTCAGTTTGACACATGTCCATCTTCTCGCTCTTCATAGTCTTACTCATGATCCAGTCCACCACAATTATGGATATAGTTGATGATAGTAGTCAGTCTTACCTTATTATCTGGCTTCAATACAAACGTTTCTCTGGGTTTTTCCATTGTGAATCATTTGATATGCGGTATCATCATACAGCTGTTGAATGAAGTTGGGAAAGTTACCCAGTCCTTAGTGTTGAAGCAATTTACAAATTACTTCGCAATCAATGCTGTGGAGGGTGTTCTAGAAGTCGATGGAGTGTTGATAGAGGTTCTACTGCCTTCTATCCTTTGTTTGGCGACGGTGAGCTGGGTTGCTATTTGATCAATAATGACTTGTTCACCTCGAATCCTCTCCGATTCTTGCAAAGGTATAGTTGCCCTTCTTTGGCAGTTTCGTAAGGTAGTCTTTTTTCCAATCAGCAGGTACTTTTCTTTCCTTCTAAGCTTTCTGCGATAACGGTGTAAACGTATCCACTGAGGTCTGTGGATCACTTTTCAGTGATTCTGGAGAGATTCCGTGTGGTCCCGCTACCTTCCAGGTTTATTATCGGTGGTATAAGTGACATTGCTAAAAATGAAAAATCTGTTCCTAGCTTATGAAGTCTACATTATTTGTGCTTTTAGTTAAGGAGAATCCCACAAGACGACGCGCATTCGGTTTGAGATAACATGTGTGATAAGAACATTGGCTAATTTACACTGTGCACACTATCAGCCTAGGATGTTTTAAGTAAACTAATTTATTATCTTTGGCAAAATCTGTCATTATTCAATCACTTTTTCAATGAAATAAGCTTTTGTATCCAAATTTACTTTACTGACTTGACTAGCTATGTACTGTCATTAAGCCACTCAACTACTCACAGACTTTTTGTTGACAATTTCCCCTCAAATCAGGTTATTTTTCATTCCCCACAACCTTGGCTCACATTCCTTTCAGTTGTAAAGGCTTCTTATGTTCACACTTCCACTCTTTATTTGTCGTCTTATTTCGAATGCACGATCATGTTTTACAGTATTTAATACTCAAAGTATTCAACCGAAAAATGCTGAGAATTTCCCACTTTTTCAAAATTTTTACTTCTATTCTTTAGTATTAGTGTTCGGACTGTCAACAAATTAAAGAAGTGGCTTCAGGAGGAGTTGGGCTAAAATATAGGAGTGAAGTTTTGCTTTTCATTTTGCTACTGAAGATGGTGGAATGAAAACTTAACGATCTATTGCATATTCCATATTCTACTTCATCACTTGAACTGAATGCTGACTGATACTTATGTGTCTTTGAGGATCATATCACTATTTATATTCTTGTAAATAGTGGGACCTGTCACTCATTTTTAATATGCATAGCTTATAAAAGTTTGGATAAGTGGATGGTATGATTAACTGTCGAATTACTGGCATAGCCTCCAAAGCCTCAGGATGGTCGGGGGTGGGTGCCTTGCGCTGCGGGTTGACCACCCCTCCGTACACCTGTCGAAATGCTCCCATATGACCGGGCGTCTTACACAGCCTCTCCTGAGGAAGTCCTACTCACTGCCTTCACGTGGCGGAGGTGTTTTTTTTCCACCGAAGTGAGATGGCAAAAGCGGATGCCCGGCGCTCTTCACCGGGTTGTCTGCCCATTGGATGACAGTCTAGGGGAGATGGCTAAACCCTGACTCCTAACCTCCAACGACTGGCGTATGAAGCTCACCGGCAGACGTATGGACAAAGGGCTTATTGGATGCCTGGATGTCTGGCCCCATTCAAAAAAGCGTATGAACCGGACTCCGGTCACCGGCTGCCAATGGATAGTGGACTCCCTACTCCACTCTTACTGCCTTGTAGGTCACACTTGGTTGTGTAAAGGCTAGAGCTGCACTCTCAAACAAAAGGCCGAGCGATGCTGGGGACATCACTCGTACCTAATTCCCATGAAACTTCATGAACTCTCTACAACACCAACCAAATTCCAGTACTGGTCCAACAACGTCGCCTTCGGGGGTTTGGCCATGTCTGCGCCGACCAGATGACGATCTGGTCAAATCAGTTCTAAATCCCTCGCCATTTCCATCTTGGCAATGTCGCAGGGGTGGACAGCTGAAAACATGGCTTGGTACAGTCAAGGCTGATATGGAGTGCCTGGGGCTACAAACCGTCTACGGACTCCGTCTGTGGAACAAGAATTGGATAACCCTGTCGCTGGGATCCCATGGGCCGTCAATTGTAGTCAGTGAAGTAGTAACCGTATCTTCACTCTTTATCGAATCCTGGGATAGTGGTATATTAACGAGTATTCAGACTTGTCTGCATTTACCGAATTGGTTTTAAGACTAAATTCTGCTATTAGTGACTCCCTGTATATCTAATGAGGTGTTTGACTACTGGGTGGCCCTTTACCTTATCTCCTTGGTTATGTCACTATATAACGTTAAATCCTTCAAAAATTTAGTCACTATGATAATATGAGGAAAACTATTGATGTTCATGTTGTGGAAGGTATCTATAGAGTCGATGCAGTAGGTGTGCACACCGGAAAACTCTTAAAAAGCTAGTAATTAAATGAACCTTTGAGTGTTTTTTTCATGGTTTGCATAATAGACAGTTATTTTTAAACTCAGCAGTTTTCGTAATTGATATGAACTACAACATAAGAATGCAAGCAGAATTCGATGATTGCAATTTTTTGACTAAATGTCGCATTCAAGTGGATTTTTAAGTTTTCTTTAAAGTTTTAAGTTTTTACAGTTGTAATTAAGTAATGGAGATACTGACCTAGTGAATACTTGTTTGTGTGAGACGCAGAACCATATTTTATTTCTGAGACGTCCTATCCATCTAGGAAGAAAGAATGCCTGCTGCCCGTATTTAATATTTCGTTCGTCCGTTAACACTAGTTGGGATAAAGGTAATGTGCTCTTATATATTTTATATATATATATATATATATATATTCGGACTTTGAAGATGATTGGTGCACATTGTTGTAGTATGGATTTAAAGAAACTACCAACGTCTGATCTTTTTTATCTTTTTTGCATCGCATGATCAGAAATTTAGAGTATTAGATAGACATAAGTAATTGATCTATATGTCAAACTGAACTTGCCTCATCCATCATCCATCCATCCATACATATATCATCCTTTCCCATCTTCAAGATGTACATTAATTGAAATAAAAGAAAGGTTGTTAAAGCAGTATGCTATTCCTAAAGATAGTAGAAATAAACTAGTTCAATTATTAGTATTGTTTTGTACGATAGTAGCAGCAGTTTAGTGTATGGTTTCTGAAATAGAATTATTAGGCATAATTGAATAATAGAGATTGTCGAAGTTTGTCTGTACTTAAAAGCACAGTTCTTTGAGAAAACAGAATTACGACTTTGAGATTAGTTGATAAGTATGTTATGACGCATTTAACTAAAATCCTCAATGGCATAATGTATACAGTTTTTTCGAGAGATAAGTGTTACAAACGATTTTCAGGTTTTATATTATAGCGTCTTCTTGCATCATATCTACTCTTTCTATTTGTAGCGGTCAACCAAACACACTTGAACTGGTATTCTTCTTCTTTGAATGATCATCAAATGGAAGTAGTGTATTAAATTTATTGAAATCCACTTATATTGTCTCATCTTATGGGTTTAGGAATTCTTTACTTTTTAATTTGAGAACAGTTGTTGAGCAGGTTTTGCTGAATGTCATAATGTCGGTTAAATACTTTCTCCCTACATTTATGGTGATCTGCAAATTGATATTCATGCAGGGCTTGAGATATGTTTTTCTTTGATCAGATACTAGGTAGTAATAAATGTTATGCATTTAGTCATTTGTTTAGTACAGTCTGAATTCTATCGGCTAAGTTTGTGGTGCCAGGTGGCTCGTTATCATAGTATACTATGAAATACAATTGAAAAATTCCAGTAACATCTTCCACTTTTTCAGAAAATTAAGCAGACAACTTGTGGCAAATCATATATACTTTCCCCATAATTTAGGCCGTCAAATCATTTTTGATTTTTCTTCTACACAAAATCTTTATCCTGCTGTTTGTTCGACTGGGCAATAAAAATGAAAAAACGTTTCACCAGTAGCTATTTTGTGACTCCCCTAGTGCCTTGAAGTTTTATTCTCTTATCAATAAATAAGGAAGTTTTAGGCTTCCTAAGAGGTGTTATATTTACTGAGAAGAATATGGTAGGTTGTTCACCCAATTTCATCTTTATATACCTTTGATTTGTAAGAGTCCAAAGAGCAGGTTGTTATTATACACGAAGCCTGTTTGTCCTTTTGCTTCTTTTGTGAATGTTAGGTCTTCAAATATCAGTAAACAAACATTAGTATTATGAATTCTGACAGTATGATGTCGCTACATAAAGTTCGGAAACAAGTAGCTAGTAATTATTTATTTTATTTTTGATTACAGCTTGATTTCACACTGTATTTTTCGTACAAGTATGGAATTTTCAGCATGGATATCGGTAGCCCAAATTTTACAGGCCGACCATAGATATCAAGTGTGCATCGGGAGGGGATCGAACCTCGGACCATGTGCATGGTCGACTAGAGTCCTAACCACTGTGCCACCGACGCACAGTGGCATCCTCCGTTTTCAAGTTCCGATAATCACCTCCTTAATTCGGATAAGTGTGTTTAGGATATTTTTTGTAATTTTTTGCAGTAGTCACAGGAAATTACACATTAAATTTTTAAAATGGCTTCATTTAGTATAAACCTTCAGTTATTATTTCTACTACTTTAATTATATTTAAGTAGGCAAACTCATTTCAATGGTTATTTATGAACAGGCGTGCTTTATTTTGCAGATGAAACCAAATGTATACTCATTCTTTATTATGTATACTAATTACTGCTTCCTGTGCTACCGCTCAAAGACAAGAAGGCTACAAACTTGATCCGCTAACGTAAGCTATCAAGTTGTGTATATAGTTAAATTGTATTTAAAATCAGGTCATATGTAATCCTTGCACCTAATCGTATCAGAGCCAATGAACTCGTACAGATCAGTGTATCTATATTCGAATTACTGTATGAACAATTAACAATCCGGCTGGCTATCAAAGTTAATTCCACTGAAATTGTTTCCAGTCGAGAAGTATTTAAGTCAACTGGTACAAGAATTATGCAACTGAAGGTGAGCACTTTTTAAATGCCAATATCAGTTATTACTATTTGATAGACTCATCATTGAAATGGTAGATAGAATAACTTAGAAGGGAAATTAAATTTACCATTAGACGTATAGAAGTGGATGGTAGGTATGTATTACCTCTAGATTTTGAAAAAGCTATTCTGTGATTTCCAAGAATTAGTTTCTCAGTTCATTTATTTCATCCAATAGGAGTAAAATAATGAATAGATATTTATCATAACTAAAATGAATAACTTTTTTCTCTAATAAAATACTCTTTTTTTATTTTATTTCATAGGTGCCTAATTATGCTCGCACAGGAACATATTGGCTACATGTTGAAGGTTCTATTGTAGCTAATGCTTCTATTTTATTTTCGAATCTGACCAAATTGGCATTTTCTGAACAATCGAAGTCTATTTTTATACATGTAAGTGCAGTCAGACACGGTTGAAAGCTACTGTTAAAATGTCATAAGTTCAGTGAGTTTCATGACAGAATTTAATTTAATTTATTTATGCAACTGATTGTGATTCGCTTTTATATCCATTAATTTCACACAATAAACAGTGAAGAAGTATTATTAGGTAAATGACTATTTTGATGCAACTTAAGGCGTGTAATCACATCATGGTGCCCGCTGCTTAAAAATCTCGATCTTAATGTTCTCATTATTCTGCTGTCAAAATTTTCGAGATGTCAATAGTACCATTATAGATAAGATTTTATTTTGATAAATCGCACAGTGTTTACAGTTATATGAACTGATGACGTTTCGAGCACAAACTATTGCTCATAATCATATCAAGTTACTCACACAACTTTGATCTCTCATTTATATACATATGTGGAATGGATTAGATATTGGATTAAAAATCAATGTGAGATAATGTACATTCAAAAATAATCGTACGAGTGTTGTTGATCAATTGCAATTAGATGGGAAAATTGGACGAGTGTTTTTACAGTCATAATAAGCTGCTTGTTAGAATGTGTTTGAATTGAAATAGAATTTTAAGATTATTTATTATCTTCTTCTGGTTTGACTGATGGCATTAATACGAGTGTTATTGATCTACTATAATCAGATGGAAGATACGACGAGTGTTTTAATAGTCATAATAAGTTTTTTGTTAGGATGTTGTGATGTGTTTGAATTGAAATAGAATTTTAATATTATTTATTACCCTCTTCTGATTTGACCTGCGGTAATAATATCTTCCATATCTCTGGTATTTGCATTGAGTCATTTTTGTTGCATGTGTTGGGTGTGGACTCGATAAATAAGGATTCCGTAATCAACCTCTCTCTCCACTTAGCTATATTACTTTTTAGAATTTTAACCCTATCCCACCCTATTGTGTGGTTGTTTGTTATTGCATGAAGTGCAATAGCTGAGCTTTTTTCTAAATTACTTATCTTTTTAGGGTCAACCATTCTTACCTTAGCTAAATTCTTATGTCCTGTTAATCTGACTATCCCTGATGTCAGTAGTCATGATGAAATCCTCCAACCAGTAACTGAAGTTCATAATTACACTTTTGGCTTCCGTCACAATGACTTTTTAAATTAAACCGACATTTTCTCTCACCACATAATGCTGAACAGTTAATTACCTGGATCCTATTAGTCAGTTCATACAGTAATTGACAAAAAAGTTCTTACGGATTTGAGTACTATCTTCAAACGAATGTTACTTTCTTTCCAACATTGATTAAATAATCTGTTTCATTTTTTTTTCCAGGTTAGTAAACCGATCTATCATCAGAGTCAGATTGTTAGATTTCGTGTAATTCCAATGCTACCAGACTTAACTCCAGCCTACGGTTCCCTGGTTAGTATTGAAGTACTTGATGCATCTGGTAATGTATTTAAACGATGGTTGAATCCGATGACAAATATTGGAGGTAAGAAAACTAATTTATACCTTATTTCCCTGTAAGTCAAGAGAATTTTCAAATTCATTGTAGTTATGGCTGGCTTTAATTTTAGCTAATATCTTCTGAGTCAACCAATTTTTCGCTCAATGGATTAAATGTACCTGGATATAAGAGATTCCTGGACTTATTAATCGGAATTATCAAGTATTGGTTTTGTAGCGATTTTTTGTTCGATTGGTTGGAGGATTCCATCATGAGGTGATATCAGTTAGACAACCAATGGAAAACCAACGGGGAGTACTGGAGAGCTGTTTCGTCCTGGTTTGGGAATCATCAGCAGTACGCACTCACCGGGGTTACAACGCAAGCTAGCTCATAGACCATTAAGCTACTGGGACCCGACCCAGTGGCTCATGAATTCTAGCTTCTGCCACTTCATGTCTGCCTGTCTGTCTGTTTTCGACATAGAACTTTGCACATATGTGCGGCAGTTCAAGTCGCCACACTCCACGTAGCACACAAAGCAAGAGAAGAAAGTAGAAGAAATGCATAATAGAGACAGTAAGCAGAGGTGTGAGACAAAGGAATAGTAATAACGAAGAACAATATAGTTTCATTGGAAATCATAAGTCCATCCATCCATAAGTGGATGGATGCATCTGCGCCATTGAGAACGATTTTGAACCATATCACTAATTGTCTCCAACCATTGGTTTTTACCATCCCGAAGACCCTAACCCGGAAGTCTACACCTTCCTACGTGGCTTAGACTAACTGTTGTAGATTTCATTGACTGGTTTGACCGCCACTAGCTATTTTCCAGCCTGACCCTATATCAGCTAATATTGCCCGTCGAGGAAGGCGATGACTAGGCATACGTAACACATGTCCTAACCATCTCAGTCGATGTAATTTCACAGGCTCTTCGATGATTTCCCCTCGTTACCTGCCAATTCATGACACAGCGCGACCACTTTACAATGTCTCCTTCGATGAGTTACTGCCTCACCTTCAACCTACTGTACCGTACTGGTCATGAATTCCCACTAGAACCCCAGTTTAATTGCCTAAATAGGACCGGTCGCTACTGAGTATCATGGATTGGCAGAAGTTAGAATCCCTGGGCCTCTGGGTCGGGTCCTAGTGACTTAATGGTATGCGAGCTCGCCTTGTAACCGTAAGGTCCTGGATTTGAAACCCAGCGGGGGTACGCACCGCCGACGATTCCCAAAATAGGACGAAACAGCCCTCCAGTACTCCCTGCTGGTTTTCCAATGGCTGTCTAACTGATGTCAGCTCATGATGAAATCCTCGAACTAGTCGGAATTACTTACTTCCATCTAGTATATGATTGTTCTCTTTTATATCGTCTGCACTTCGTTACTTACAGGAATCACCAAACCCATATGAATGATTTTACAAGGGACGGAATAATGAGACTTCTAGAATTTCGACTGGAAGCGAAAATCTGCATCATTCTGTCATATTATGTGTTCATGCTTCTGAAGCATTTTTTACATACTTTCTTCTTATCCACCTGTGTAAATCAATCTTTCCTAAAGCTAATATTTGTGTTAAATGGGATTTCCCCTGAAAACTATAGAATCTTGTTTTCTGGAGTTCTCCTGTAAATGATAAGTCGCTTAAAGGATGATTAGTTGATTGTTTGAGATATGATTCGTATTATCGTCTGTATTCTAAAGACATCGGGTGACTGACAACTCGTAATAACGGAGTGATCATTTGATTCCAACAAAAGTGGTTGTTATTCATCAGTATTTTAGTTCAAATCAATGGAGAGTTCAGTCAGCTTTTTTGCATAAAGCATTTTCTGTTAACAAGTGCACATAAGATTGTCATTTAGATTGCAATATAACCCATAACTGTGTACACAACACTTAAACAACAGATATGATCAGTGAGTAAATTTTGATCTTATTTGGACGGGGTTGCTGAAACATCACAAATTATATATATATATATTTTTTTTCCAGATACCTGTAAACAGTAGTACTTGCTCATACTACAGGTTATAAGTCATTCACACTATCCGCTAGCCAGACTGAGGTTTTCCAACCATTGTTTGGTCAGCATACTCGAAGCTTATCATAAAAGTAGGAATATGAATACAGGACATCCATGCAACAGTTTAAGAGATCCCTGGACGTTGAAATTATGGTTAGCAGTCTCATTACCAAATATTACAACAGTCACTCTTTTTCGCTGGTTGTTTAAGGTTTGTACTTTTTTAGGCAAAAGGTCAAACAGCTATTCTTGTTAATTTTTAGAAACTGAAGTATATATATACATATATATATATATATATATATATATATAATAGTGAAACGATTTTAATAACAAAGTTTTTTATGGATAGTGAGTGTGATCCCTTGATGGCTGTTAGTAACAGCATAGAAGTTTAAAGTAGTAGATATGATTTCTACATTACAATAAGCTTTGTCTTTTAAGTATGCTATCAAAATGTAATTGTTACAAACAAAATCTTCCTCTCATGGCCTCTGATTTACGCAGAGTCCTAATGCACTGCTGCTCTTTTATATAGTGGAACGTCACATAAACAGTCATTGGACAATTATTTTAGGAACAGACAGAATGTGGGCACTTCTCTAGGAACCTTAATTATTCAGTAGGTTTATCATTTTTCTTCATCTATGAGGATAAATGTTCAGTGAGTATTCAAAAATGTTGGTCAAGGTATAACAAAAGTTTCTCATAAAGTTATATAATCATGTATTACAAATTTCACTCATCCACTTTACCGTTGAAACGCCTCTGATTATGTCTATTTTTGTTAATTAGATTCTGATTAAGACAAGACATTAATATGATAATGTACTACAATATGCTAATTATCGCCCTGCACTCTATCCAATTCCATTCACATTAAATTAATTGCTGTATTTTATCTTGAAATCATCTAGGTATAATTGAATTAGATTTCCCACTATCAGATCAAGTGCATGAAGGCGTCTGGTTGATACGCGCAAATCATGAAAGATTTTCGGCAGAAAAAACATTTAGAGTGAAGGAATATTGTAAGTTCTAAATGTAACTATTCATATAAGAATAGAACTTGTACACTATGGTAGAACATAATTCCATTATGGGTAAAATTTATTTTGATAAAGTCTCACAGTGTTATGCAGTAATATTTACTGATGACGTTTCGAGCACATTATATTATATTATTTTGTCTAACTGGGTCAAAAGGATCCTTTAACCTATGATATAATCTACAAAATACCCTGCAATGACTGTGAGGTCAATTACATAAGTCAAACTAGTAGGTCGGGGGTAGTCAGATTGTCGGAACATAACAATTTAGCTAGGGTAGGAATGGTTGACCCTGAAAGGATAAGTAATTTAGAAAAAAGCTCGGCGATTGCACTGCATGCATTAACACACAACCACACAATTGGATGGGGGAGGGTTAAAATTCTAAGAAGTAACCTAGGTAGGCGGAGAGAGAGATTGATTACGGAATCCTTATTCATCGAGTCTACACCCAACAAGTGCAATAGGAATGACCCACCACTCACACCGGGGATATGGAAAATACTATTACCAATCAAATCAAGTGGTGGAAAACAGTGGAATTATATAAACGAAGTTAGAAAGTTATGTGGGTAACTTGATATGATTATGAGCGATAAATTGTACTCGAAACGTCATCAGTAAATATTACTGTGTTATTATAAAACTTCATCAAAATGAAATTTCCTCCACAATGAAATTAAATAATGCTCACTTTATATATATATATATATATATATATATATACATATATACATACTTTATATACACTTTATATATATATACAGTGGCATTCTTATTTCTTTCAACCCTCTGCTGGACACTATTTGTGTCCGTTTTAGGCTGCCGTTACTGGATGATTAATTGTGGTCTCGAGAACAACTTGGCAAATTTACAAATTTCATGTAGATTCTGTATTATAAAGAGATTCAACATAATTTATTGTTATAGTCGTTCACGGTATATTTCTATCAAAATTAACATGATCACTGATTCGTCTAAATTATTGTACAATGGCTAGACATTCATTTTATTTTATCCCGTTCTTTTAAGGGCGACCGTTATGGGATGTGAACGTGACTCTTCCCCTGAGGTTAACAGATACTGAATTGGGAGTATATGGTTTGATTTCTGCTAATTACACAAGTGGGAAGGCTGTCAAAGGAAATGCTACCGTTTTAATACAGCTGAGGAAGCCAGGAGCAGATCGTTGGACCAACCCACCACTGGCTGAATTCAGGCGTTATTTATTGGCAGTAAGTAATATTCTCCTTAGTGAAATCACTTTCTAACTGAACACTTCCCAAGTTATCTGAAATTTATCACAGAGACTTAATCTACTCATGAGTGTTAAAACATTTTAACTGAAATTATTAAGGTGGTATACACTATTTTGTTATATTTCTAGAACCTAGATAGACAATGTAAAAATTCTTTTTGATTCTTTTTTGTTTATTACCTACTAACCATATATTTCTGGAGCGAGCATACCGTCTAGTTCACTTAACCAGTTTGTCTGTTTGATATGAATCTCTAGCTTAGTTCCGTTAGGAATTGGTGTCAGATCAAGGACCATGGAAACTGTAAGGCGCTTGACATCTGTTTGATTATTATCCTGAAACTTACACCTCTGTAAACACACAATCCCACAGGGGCTAAGTCTAGTAAATAAGTTGGAAACAAATGACTCGACACTTTTAAATCCCTCAAATTTATGATGTAACCAAATTGTCAACCAGTGTCATATCTGAGTACCTACTCGTATACAGTCACAGAGATGTCTCAGTTGTTCATTGAATAGATTTACGGGAAATTACAGTAAATGTTGAAAAGCTGTTATTGAACGAAGATTACTGGAAAAACAATGCCTTCGGTCAATAAATATGTGGAGAGGATAGTCATATAAACTGTTTGATGCAGAATAGTAAACACTTCTAAGGTTTGTGGATGTAACCTAAAACTGTAAATATTATTGACTACTTTACAATTCATTCGTATCCAATTGAAGAAGTGTCCACATAATCAGTATTTGCATAAAATTTATACTTATTAGGAAGAGTACTTGTATTACATGTGTTCAGTGAACTAGTATTGATGTACCTGTGAATGATGATTGAAATTAAAAGAAGGCATGCACTGTGGTGAAATTCTAACGGGTGAGAATCATAAGAATATATCTAGTGTGTCTTCTAAATGGTCCACTTCCCGGTTTTCTTTTATTTTAGGTACTGTTCGAGCCAAAAAAACATTTTGTTGGTCAATCTTGAATTAACTTTTTTTGGACAATTATTATCACCCCGCCTGACATGTCGATGCTGTCTAATTATTGTCAAGAAAATTGTCACCACTTGACTATAATAAAGTAGAACCATAGGCGAATATCTAATTGTAAAAGTAAATACCTTTTCGTTCGGTTTTCTATCTTTCAAATTTTCTTTCATTTTTAGCTTGATGGAATCGGAGATTTCCTTTTACCAATGTCTGAAATCCGTCAAGCGGTTAGCAGCTCTGGAGCTGACCCTTCGTTGGCCAACACTGAGATTTGGGTTAATGTAACCTACTACAACTGGTGGGAGAAAACACATCGAACGGGTTGGGCATTTACAAAAGTATATTCTTCTAATCCACTGATAAAATTTCTTGGTGGTACAGTTCGACCTTTTAAACCTAATATGTATTTTACTGTTTATGTAAGTCTGCTTATCCCTTGTTCACCTAGTTCTGTATTTTATTTTTTCCATTCCCTTAAAAAAATTTTTTCTCATTAATAAACAAATACTATGGAACTTTCAATTTATTTTAGTGGATTATGACTAGAAGAAACAAAATTTACTATTACCGAAGTGTTCCCCCCAATAAAAAGTCAAAAAGCTGTCATTTCTAAGACATCTGAGTAGGTGGCTGCTGAACAAAATGTACTTCTGTGATAAATTATATACTGACCCACCGAAACATGTTATATTAGTGCCTTAGACGAGTGATTAGCCCATATTTATTCAAAAATCGGATGTCTTAGTATTGGCAAGATATTGATCCGTAAAAGTTTTAAATTGTCTGAAGCCATTAGGAAAGATCTGGAAATCTAATAACTTTAGTGATTTCTGGAGGTTCTTTACTTAACACTGATCCACGAATTCACCTATGGGTCGTGGAGGCCACCTGATCAGGCTTTCAATGAAGTTGGAAATGTTTTTCTGCAAATTTTTGTGATTTTGACTGAGATCAATTACAATAGAAAAGAGAAAGACGTTATCCAATATTGTATTCAATAATCATCTTATCAGCAATCGTTATTTACCTCTATTTTTTTGTAATTGTCTTTAAGAAGGATTCTGTGTATGAATTTGAGTTGTGATGGAGATCATAATATGCGATACATTCTGTTACTACCTTTGCACACTGTGTGCATCACTTATGTGTGTGTCAGTGACTGGACGAAGTTGAAAAATTTCGGTGCATACATTGGACGACCGATATCTCTAATCCTTTATGAAATGACTGCATAGTTCTATCACTCTCTGACGAGTAAGACAATCACTAAAGTACTAGTAATCACCCCAATATTTACTGACTACATGCAGGAACAACTTGTGGAAGTTTTAAAAGGAGGGAATAACTTAAAGTTTAAAGTACGCCTTAAGACTCACACATACGAATATTTGGAGATGCTAGCCTTTATTTGTTCTTAATACACTCAAGGACAATATGATTAATGCAAAATCAGCAGAACATTTATCAGGCTTTGATAGTTTAAACGCTTTACTAACTGATAATCTCCTCAATTCTAAAGATAAATAAACAGAAATAATGAGTTCAATCGTTAATAAAGTATGATAAAGCCGATGATAATATACTTTCGAAGGAAATACTTATATCTACTTAGACGTTAACATGAAGTGTTCTTTTAAGTTATATATATATATATATATATATATATATATATATATATATATATATTGGTGATACACAAAGCTATTCGAAAGCATTATCGATCAGTGCGAATCACAGTATCTAAGATAAGTTGTTAGAAAGTGGAAAAATGACAATAAGGTATTGAGAACAGAATATTCAGTGAAAAGACTCTTTTCAACGAATGTATTATCAAGCTATACAATCGTACATATATATATATGTATATAATAGTATGAGATGCAATTAAAATATTTATGATTATAATCATAGTTAAATGTCAAGTGGCGAAACAATTAATGTCATATATAGAATAATTCATAGAAGGTATACATGTTGGAAAGATGTGTAGAATTATAGGGTTAGTAAGCAAATATAAAACGTTACATAACAAGGTTTGAAATTTGATAAGATAGAATTCCACAGTGTAAAACATTTTTGGATTTAGAATGACAAGTGGGACAGGTGGAAAAAGTTCTTCGTGAGAATATTAATAGTAACAGTAATAATAATCGTTGTAATGAGGGAAAGGTATATAAAATAAATAATAAGGAAATAAATATCTATCCCTCTACGGCTAAGGCAGAAGTAGCGGCTGTACGTACTTCTTTCATACACGAAGGTCTCCCTTGAATTCATAAATGACCAAGGCCTTCTCTCTCCTAGAAGTTCATAACAATAGATGGATGATTTTAAAATCATTGTCCAAACTGGTAGAATGTCAGGAGTTCATCAGGTGTTCTGGAATAGGGCTTAACATACCCTTCTTTTCTCCCTTGTAAAAGGTAACACGGGAGTGGTCGATCCTCTGAAGTATTCTTAGTGACTGCGTCGTGATTTTAATCCAAGCTTTTAACCACTAGCAGGAAATGTCGTAATATCTTTAGTTTCTTTTTCATTTTATCTCAGTTGGTTGTTTATATGGCTGATGGTAGTATGGTCAAGTACAAAGGAAATCGTAAAGTCACTTTGTCATTCTACTGCCTTGATAACACTTTCGAGAACCAAATCACTTTACCCGTTGCAGATGATGGCGTTATACGGTATACCTACAGACCATCTGGAGAAGGATGCATCACTTACAGACTAGAGGTGATTCTATCTATTGTAACAGTCATTATAATATTGTTTATGCTAGTATATCCTTACTTGTTATGAGTACATGTCAGTTGTTTTATAATCCTAACATTCCAAGTGGAACATAGGGTTTCAAGCTTTCGAACTGTGAGTAGCGGCAGTGCGGTCTCTAGTTCCGCTCACAACCTTCTCTGTTTTTCGGGCTTACTACCGCTTAGTGTATCTGCCGAAAATGAGAACTTCTGGGGTTGACGAGCATTCTACATTGAAACACGGACGCATTGTATACTCTGAATACACATGTTTCTCTTTCAGTAACTATGCTTCTTCTGTCCGTTCGTTCTAGAACACGTAAGTCAAATAAACCTACAGGTAGTGCGAGGATTCAGTTGGTGTGTGTGACAGCTTACCACCTAGAAACGCTTAAACGAAGGCTGTCAGAAAATACTTCAATAGGCTTTAACTAAACACGTTAGCTGATTCGACATGGATACTATCGACGTGGTTTTACTACAAACTACTGCCATTTAGGATTATTCCGTTCAAATACGAGATAATATTACAAAACAGGTCTTGTAAAAACAGAAGCATGTGATACGAACTGAGTCAGTTTGTTATGGAAGCTCATCAATAAATATAGTATAAAAATAAAAGTATGGAAAAAACTAGTATGCTGTTTTGTGCAATTCATCTTCGTTTCGTAGCAATACTACTCTTATATTTAGTGGTCACTGAAAAGCTGTTACTGAACATGGAATGTGTGTCCTTTGCAAAGACTATTATTCTACGATTATTTATCTAGGCGTATAATGTTAAAATGATGTACTTCAATTCACTCGTTGTAAGATGAAATCATCAACCATATTCACTTCACGTCTTTAACTGCCGCCAGAACTTTGAGAAAATCATGTACCGTTTAACTAGTAGTTTATTTGATCCTAGACGAAAAATTCTGGTTTGCTCACATATTCCTAAGAGAAGAAAACAGTCACAGTGATTTTTTTTTAAAAAGATAATCATTTTTATGAAGGAAATTTAACCTTTCTAAGTGACTGTTAAATTCTTACCATTTAGGCTCGATATATTGACGAAACAGATAGGATCCTATCAAATGATCAACAGCGTATATTTGCTGTCAACTCTTATTCTGGTGCTTATTTGCAACTGTCAACATCAACATTGTCGCCTAAGGTGAGTTATGACAAGAGTCTGTGCTTGAACTCTCTTCCACAGAAATGTGAAATGCCTTTGTTTTTCAATGCTCTATGTTTATTCACAAAAATGCTGAAGTGCTATAAAGTTTTTTGATTGCATACTAGTAACTAGTGTGACGTGTCTAGTCCTTTCTTTGGTGCAGACTGAATTCTATCAGGCACGTCACACTAGTTACTAGTATCCAGTCAAAATACCCACTACAGTGCTACAGGAGGTCGATCACGAGCCTGAATAGCTCAGTGGTAACGTCCCTGACTGTGGCATTGGGTGACGCAGGTTCAAATCTCAGAAGGGACATGAGTTCCTTCAAGGTTACAGATAGGCCTAGCTGACTTGTGAGTGCCAACTAGCAGGGAACCTAGGTCGAAGGCTTCCTGCTGATTGCCTCCCACTGTCTAATGCTATGAAGTCTGTTTTCTCATTATCTCGATGTATATTTCACTGTTGAGATACTTATTTGTTCTCCAAATGCTATTAACCTGTGTTATAGGGGAAAATTGTATCCTGTATCCACCTAATACAACTGCAGTTTATCTCTGTGATTTTTCTTTATAAAACTGAAATAGCGGAGACATTCGTTTACCAATACAAATTTAAAATTAGCAACAAGAATTAATCAAACAAGATTTAACCAATTCATCTAATTTTGGTAGAGCTTCTCAGTTGAATACATTGCGTGCTTTATTATATATGTTGTGCGAGAGACGTAAAGAGATATATGACTAAGAAATAAGCCACAATGAATCAATCGTAGCGATTGGAAAGGCGGTAGTGTTTTGTGGCTCAGGTTCAAACATACAGATCATTTTAACCAAGATAAGAATAATAACACAGAAATTGAAATTGAAACAAATCTTATGACTGTGATTCATAAATTCTTTGGACCTATAGGAATTCAGAGCGTAAAGAGTGTGTACTGTAGTATAACTGCTTACTAAATACTTAAGTTAATTCCAACAAGTTTGGCAGACTTGTATTGTAACGACAAAAGACAAGAGTCAGGCAACAGATCATTTATTATCGAAATCAGCACGTATTTATATATATATTTCATGTACATTATTATAGCTTATTCAAGCAGACAAGCACAGTCTTCTGATTGGTTATTTCTTGCCCAAGGTTATTCTGTACTGCTTGTGACTGGTTTCTCAGAAAGTTAAGCCATATATCTGCGAATCGTATTTGCCCACGTTAAGTCTGCTGTGATTGGTTGTTGAATCAGTCAGTATCACTGTACTGGCTTTACAATACGATTTGAATTTATGAGATTCACAGTAGTGTCCACTAGTTATCTTACTATTTATATCCTTTACTGACTTCCTGAAAGCTATTGAGATTTAATAGCAGTTTAAGCCTCCTACTCCATGTTAATTCGATTTGCCATATAGTGTGATAGAGTTTTACTTCCGAAATAGTGTTTAAGGCACGATATACTGTTAATGGTGATTTAAAGTTTTATTTAGTGAATTATATTGTATCACTTTGTGTTAGATAAAACAAAACTAACCAACAGCGACTTATGATCTGTCGAGCTACCCAATTTCTACACTTATATTTGCAAGAAATATTAAACTATTATCATGAGGTCATTTAGCTTTTTGAATAGTGGCGTACTAAATAAATTGGTTTTTCGTGGAACAAAAGCTTTCAAGGAGAATTTCGTCAGTTTGATAGTCTTTGCACCAGTTCGAACAACTGCTAAGCCAATTAATTATTGATGAGTAATATTTTAAAGGCTATGATACACTCAGTATTTCTATAGTTTGGTTTGTAAGGATTAGTTATGTTTTACGGGTTGATCACGGATTGATATCAGTTAGAGAAACATTGAAAACCAGGGAGTACTGGACAGCTGCTGTTTCATCCTAGTTTGGGAATCATCGGCAGTACGCACCCACTGGGATTCGAACCAGGGACCTTCCGGTTACAAGGCAAGCTCGTATACCATTCAGCCACTGGGACCCGATTCAATGGCTCGTGAATTCTAACTTCTACTAATTCGTGATTTAGCGCGACCCCAACCATTGTCGTTGGTGGGACATCCATCCACACACGTGACATCTAATTGGACCTCACTGGTCACGACTTCTCACTAGAACTCAGGAAACTCCAACCTGTAGCAAGTCACTAGCGAGCATCAGATTAACTTTCTATAGTTTGGTTTGTAAGGATTAGTTATGTTTTACGGGTTGATCACGGATTGATATCAGTTAGAGAAACATTGAAAACCAGGGAGTACTGGACAGCTGCTGTTTCATCCTAGTTTGGGAATCATCGGCAGTACGCACCCACTGGGATTCGAACCAGGGACCTTCCGGTTACAAGGCAAGCTCGTATACCATTCAGCCACTGGGACCCGATTCAATGGCTCGTGAATTCTAACTTCTACTAATTCGTGATTTAGCGCGACCCCAACCATTGTCGTTGGTGGGACATCCATCCACACACGTGACATCTAATTGGACCTCACTGGTCACGACTTCTCACTAGAACTCAGGAAACTCCAACCTGTAGCAAGTCACTAGCGAGCATCAGATTAACTTTCTATAGTTTGGTTTGTAAGGATTAGTTATGTTTTACGGGTTGATCACGGATTGATATCAGTTAGAGAAACATTGAAAACCAGGGAGTACTGGACAGCTGCTGTTTCATCCTAGTTTGGGAATCATCGGCAGTACGCACCCACTGGGATTCGAACCAGGGACCTTCCGGTTACAAGGCAAGCTCGTATACCATTCAGCCACTGGGACCCGATTCAATGGCTCGTGAATTCTAACTTCTACTAATTCGTGATTTAGCGCGACCCCAACCATTGTCGTTGGTGGGACATCCATCCACACACGTGACATCTAATTGGACCTCACTGGTCACGACTTCTCACTAGAACTCAGGAAACTCCAACCTGTAGCAAGTCACTAGCGAGCATCAGATTAACTTTCTATAGTTTGGTTTGTAAGGATTAGTTATGTTTTACGGGTTGATCACGGATTGATATCAGTTAGAGAAACATTGAAAACCAGGGAGTACTGGACAGCTGCTGTTTCATCCTAGTTTGGGAATCATCGGCAGTACGCACCCACTGGGATTCGAACCAGGGACCTTCCGGTTACAAGGCAAGCTCGTATACCATTCAGCCACTGGGACCCGATTCAATGGCTCGTGAATTCTAACTTCTACTAATTCGTGATTTAGCGCGACCCCAACCATTGTCGTTGGTGGGACATCCATCCACACACGTGACATCTAATTGGACCTCACTGGTCACGACTTCTCACTAGAACTCAGGAAACTCCAACCTGTAGCAAGTCACTAGCGAGCATCAGATTAACTTTCTATAGTTTGGTTTGTAAGGATTAGTTATGTTTTACGGGTTGATCACGGATTGATATCAGTTAGAGAAACATTGAAAACCAGGGAGTACTGGACAGCTGCTGTTTCATCCTAGTTTGGGAATCATCGGCAGTACGCACCCACTGGGATTCGAACCAGGGACCTTCCGGTTACAAGGCAAGCTCGTATACCATTCAGCCACTGGGACCCGATTCAATGGCTCGTGAATTCTAACTTCTACTAATTCGTGATTTAGCGCGACCCCAACCATTGTCGTTGGTGGGACATCCATCCACACACGTGACATCTAATTGGACCTCACTGGTCACGACTTCTCACTAGAACTCAGGAAACTCCAACCTGTAGCAAGTCACTAGCGAGCATCAGATTAACTTTCTATAGTTTGGTTTGTAAGGATTAGTTATGTTTTACGGGTTGATCACGGATTGATATCAGTTAGAGAAACATTGAAAACCAGGGAGTACTGGACAGCTGCTGTTTCATCCTAGTTTGGGAATCATCGGCAGTACGCACCCACTGGGATTCGAACCAGGGACCTTCCGGTTACAAGGCAAGCTCGTATACCATTCAGCCACTGGGACCCGATTCAATGGCTCGTGAATTCTAACTTCTACTAATTCGTGATTTAGCGCGACCCCAACCATTGTCGTTGGTGGGACATCCATCCACACACGTGACATCTAATTGGACCTCACTGGTCACGACTTCTCACTAGAACTCAGGAAACTCCAACCTGTAGCAAGTCACTAGCGAGCATCAGATTAACTTTCTATAGTTTGGTTTGTAAGGATTAGTTATGTTTTACGGGTTGATCACGGATTGATATCAGTTAGAGAAACATTGAAAACCAGGGAGTACTGGACAGCTGCTGTTTCATCCTAGTTTGGGAATCATCGGCAGTACGCACCCACTGGGATTCGAACCAGGGACCTTCCGGTTACAAGGCAAGCTCGTATACCATTCAGCCACTGGGACCCGATTCAATGGCTCGTGAATTCTAACTTCTACTAATTCGTGATTTAGCGCGACCCCAACCATTGTCGTTGGTGGGACATCCATCCACACACGTGACATCTAATTGGACCTCACTGGTCACGACTTCTCACTAGAACTCAGGAAACTCCAACCTGTAGCAAGTCACTAGCGAGCATCAGATTAACTTTCTATAGTTTGGTTTGTAAGGATTAGTTATGTTTTACGGGTTGATCACGGATTGATATCAGTTAGAGAAACATTGAAAACCAGGGAGTACTGGACAGCTGCTGTTTCATCCTAGTTTGGGAATCATCGGCAGTACGCACCCACTGGGATTCGAACCAGGGACCTTCCGGTTACAAGGCAAGCTCGTATACCATTCAGCCACTGGGACCCGATTCAATGGCTCGTGAATTCTAACTTCTACTAATTCGTGATTTAGCGCGACCCCAACCATTGTCGTTGGTGGGACATCCATCCACACACGTGACATCTAATTGGACCTCACTGGTCACGACTTCTCACTAGAACTCAGGAAACTCCAACCTGTAGCAAGTCACTAGCGAGCATCAGATTAACTTTCTATAGTTTGGTTTGTAAGGATTAGTTATGTTTTACGGGTTGATCACGGATTGATATCAGTTAGAGAA